AGTATCTGTTATCACACACACACACACACACACACACACACACACACACACACACACACACACACACACACACACACACACACACACACACACACACACGGCAATTTAAAACAAAGAAGAGAACCCAAGGAATAGGTGATAAACATAATAAAATAATCAAATAATAATATAAGGAAAAAAAAAAAAGATATGGCCCCTAGGAAGTGTTGACAGGATAACGGACGATGTTTTATAGAGAAACAAGAGTGATGACGGAAATAGATAAAGAGGAGATAAAGAGGAGGATAAAGAGGAGATGATAGACCGTAAGGCCTTATTGGTGATAAAAGATGATATGAGGAGGAGAGGGAAGAGGAGGGTGAAGGAGGAGGAGGAGAGGAGGAGGAGAAGAGAAGGAGAAGAAGGAGAAGAGAAGGAAGAGAAGGAGGTAGATACATAGTCAACTTCCTCCAGCATGATAAAGGTGAAGGCGATCATAGAGAGGGAGAAAAGTTGTAAGTGGAGGATTACAGGGAGAGCAACGAGAATTATGGAGGGAGGGAGGGAGGGAAGGAGGGATGGGGGGGAGGAGGGGAAGGAGGGAAGGAGGGGAGGGAGGGGGGAGGGAGGGAAGGAGGGAGGGAGGGAAGGAGGGAGGGAGGAAGGAGGAGGATGGAGGGGGGAGGAAGGGGAAGGAGGGAGGAGGGAAGGAGGGAGGGATGGAGGGAGGGAGGGAAGGGGGAAGGAGGGAGGAGGGAAGGGAGGGAGGGATGGAGGGAGGGAGGGAAGGGGGGAAGGGGGAGGAGGAAGGAGAGGTGGAAGGGAGGAAGCAAGGATAAAGAGTAAAGAGAGAAGGAATGAAGGAAGGATGAAGGGAGGGAGGAAGGGAGGGAGTCATTTTATCTCCCTGGCAATGATTGAGAAAAAGACTCTTGACGAAGTGAAAATAACAGAGAGATGATATCACCAGGTTCCATAGATGTTTACTTCAGACAGACAGACAGACGGATAGACTGACAGACAGACAGAGACAAACATGGTAGCAGCAGGTGTGTGTGTGTGTGTGTGTGTGTGTGTGTGTGTGTGTGTGTGTGTATAGGTCACGGCCTCACACCCACCGTCATGAATAACACACACACACACACACATGACCTCACACTCAACCTTGACCTCTGACCTATTTTAAAGTCTCGGATTCACAACAGGTAAATGGATCCTAAAATCAGATCCGAAACTTCGAGACAACGAAACCACGTCTAGAAGTTTTGGAATCTAAATATCCTAATACTGTATTGTACAAGGAGTTTATTTATCTATTATTAAGCCCAACAAAATGTACATACGGATAATATTGTGTGGGTTAGGTTAGGTTAGGTTATTCAGGAGTTTAAGAGGGGCGAGAGATCAGTGGTGGGTGACCTTCCGAACTAAATTACTGTGACCCCAGAAATCAGGTCAAGTCAGCCCACTTACTTGTCCCCTCGTCTGACCTTTAACTCTCCCCTCCCAGGACTCAGGTTAGGTCATTTATATTGCTATTTTCCTCTGCAATGACCTTTGGCCTATCCAACAGAACTTGAGGTTAGGTTAGGTTAGGTTAGGTTAGGTTAGGTTAGGTTAGGTTAGGTTGACTGAGTGATATTACTTTAACCATTTCTGGTCGTTCCACAAGGTCAATTGAAGGTCATCATATTACCATCCATTTCCCGACATGTACGAGGTCAGGTCAGGTCAGGTTAGGTCATTTTACGGTCATTATCATCTAAATACGAGTTTAATCTCAAGTGGCAGGAGATCTCAGAGGATAAAAAGGCATTCTGATTGTAAACAAACACGAAATATTTATGTCAATGGAGAATGTGCAGAGAGTTCCATAGGGGTGAGGGAGATTGTTCCAGGGTGGTGGGGTGAGGAGAGAGGTTATTCCATAGGGGTGAGGAAGATTGTTCAGGAGAGTGTTATTTGTACCAGGAAGGAGGCACCGTGATGGTTGTTTATTCAGCATTAAGTAAATGATTTTAGAAAGAGTCCATAGCCTCTACTTCCAGCGTGTGTAAAGAGAGGGAGAGGAAGAGATAAAGAGAGGGAGAAAGGGACAGAGAAAAAGAGGGATAGGAGAGAAAGAGGAAGAGAGAAAGAGGAGGAAGGAGAGAGAAAGAGAGAGAGTAATTCAGAATATAGTGGCTATAGGTATAAAGGGCGTGGCCGGCTATTACACTGGTTAGCCTCGGGTTTTTTTTTGCCGCGTCACGATGACTCAGCACATTTGTTGATTGTGGGGTGCGGAGTTCACCATTTTCTCCGGGGTTTAATCTGAGGGGGGGGGGGGGGGGGGGGGGGGGGGGGAGATCTGGCAGTGGAGAGACGTGTAAGTTCAACTCGATTACCTTACTTTATGTGATTGCCAGACGCAGGGGAACATTCTCACGCACAAACACATACAAATTAGTCGAATGAACCACCAGAAACGGAAAACAAATATTCAAATTAAAAAAACAAACAAAAAAAAACACATGCAGTCGATCACAAGTAAACACAAACAAATATATTAAGTAAATTTACACATACAGAAACACACACACACACACACACACACACACACACACGTTACACACAAACAATTCACTATATGTGTTCGTGTTCTCATCTTTTATTTGTTATTATCGTAGAGAACTTTGGTAAGGTCAGTAGAGAACATGGTCAGGTCAGGTCAGGTCAGGTCAGGTCATAGGGTCAGTATTTATCAAGGTGTAGGGAGATATTACCAGTTCAGTCCGCCTCATCCGTCAACGTCAACCACAACAAAGACACTCTCGCCTCCACCTTAACCCTGGATGACCTGAATGGATGACCTGAATGGATGGCCCGCACGGATGACCCGGTGGATGATTTAAGTGGGTGACCTGGTGGGTGACCTAATTAGATGACTTAAGTGAATGACCTGGAGGATGATTTAAACGGGTGACCTTCTTCATCCACTGCTGCAACCTTCACCTGTACCTTTTTTTGTTCAATCACGTTCATTATTCATTGTTCACTTCCCTCAATCACTCACACACACACACACACTCAATCTATCACCTTCCTTTACTCAATCTATCACCTTCCTTCACTCAATCTATCACCTTCCTGCACTCAATCTATCACCTTCTTTCACTCAATCTATCACCTTCTTGCACTCAATCTATCACCTTCCTTCACTCAATCTATCACCTTCCTTCACTCAATCTATCACCTTCTTTCACTCAATCTATCACCTTCCTTCACTCAATCTATCACCTTCCTTCACTCAATCTATCACCTTCCTTCACTCAATCTATCACCTTCCTTCACTCAATCTATCACCTTCCTGCACTCAATCTATCACCTTCCTGCACTCAATCTATCACCTTCCTTCACTCAATCTATCACCTTCCTGCACTCAATCTATCAGCTTCCCTCACTTGGTAATGTGCGGTGGAATGAGACCACAGCCTGGCGACCTGTGAGGATTGGCTGCCGTACCCATATGACCTGTGAGGGGCAGGGGGTGGGAGGGGGGATGAGGCAGGATTGAACAGGAGAGAGGAGGAGGGGCAGGTGGGGGAAGGAAGAATTGGAGGGGAGGTGTAGGAGGGAAGAAGGAAGAGGAGGGAGGGTAGAGAAAGGAAAAGAGGCTAGGGGAGAGGTAAGAAGGAGGAGGAGAAGGAGCAAATGAGACAAGGAAACGAGGAGAAGCGGTAGGAGGAGAGGGAGAGGAAGGGGAGGCAACCAACTCAATTCACCTGAGTCACTTTGAGCCGCGGTTTTTTGTTTTGTTTTTGTTTTTGCTGCTTTATTAAAATTTCCCCCACCCCCCACAGCCTTAAAAGAAGCATGCCAAGTTCATGCTACTGTTATGTCTCACGAGTTAAAGGCGTAGAAGCCTGAAGAGTCAATGGTTTGTGTCTAAGCAAGTTATTGGAAGCTCCAACAACTTGTCCCTGAATATGAATTCGCAACTTTCGATTTACAGCAGGTACTTACATTGCTGCTAGGCAAACAGGGACCAAGGGAGGCTGGGAAGTGTGTCCGAACAACTTTCCACCGGCCCGGGAATCGAACCCGTGACATCTCGCTTGCGAGGCAAGAGCGATACCGTTCTACCAACCGGCGCGTTTCCCTCCGACAAGGCGCAGATACAATGACCTCGGTGACCTTAGAGGGAAGAAACATATTTAGAGGGTCAAAGTTCACCAGCAGGAGGACACACACACACACACACAAACCTGATAAATAACCCCTCAAGATCAGGTAAGGTATCTCCATAATGTTCCACAATTTATCGGTAAGAATCCCAGGTGAATTTTACTATTACAACATTAAGTAAATTTTCAAAAGTATTGGTTCATAATTATTCATCAGCCGAGACTTAAGAGTAATGATAAGAATTACTCTTTTTGTTTTAATTAATGTAAGTCCCAAATTCCAGGGTTATCCAGATGTCAATACCCAATGGGGGAGCTCGAAATTAATGACGTCATCATTACGATATGCAAAACCAATAGGAAGAACGATTCGTCACGGACACATAACACCGATGAGAGGCCTGAGTACCCTACCGTCCACGACTGTTT